AAATAGGTAAAAAAAAAAAAAAAATCCTTGGTTTCTTGCAGGGAGGGGGGTGGAGGAATGGCTGGCCCTGGGAGAAAAAACGGCACGGTTCTCAAATCTCTTTTATTCTTCTTTTGGGGGGGGGATCCATTAGTGTCCCACGTTTAAAATTCGCTGGATTGGGTGGGGCTGAAATGGGGGGTGAGAGAGGATATATCGGGAAGATGATGGTGGTTGGGGGAGAATAACCCGGTTTGGAAAGGGGGGAGGGTAAGAAAAGCTTTCATACTGACCCTTCAAGATGCTTGCCTCCGTGTGTACGGCTTGATTTGGAAAAAGAAAAGGTATTCACCCCTTTCTATATTCTCCTCCTCCTTATCATTATTATTATTAAAATACACACACACACACACACACCACTTTGCCTGCATAATGCACAAGGTAGATTCCCAAGATTTCATACCCCCCCAAAAGGGAGGTGTACCCCCCAAATCCATCACCAGGTTACGTTTTTGGATCGCTTCTCTCCCCCCCACTTTCTGAAAGGCACACAGCAGCAGTAAGAGCCAGGAAAACAGCAAAGGGTTGTGAATCTCTGATCTGTGGGGGTCCTCCCCCCCCAAGAATGGGCTTTTTTCGCTCCCTTTTGAGGAAATGAAACAGGGCTTTTGATAAGAGGCTATGATGTCAGTCCATCCCTTCTGCATTTTCTCAGCCTTATGCTCTCATTTTTACCCCCACTGAAAAAGGGGGGGAGAGAGCCGAAAGGGGAGGGGAAATATTTATTCTCGCTTCCCCCCCCCTCCACGACACACCACCTGCTTTGCACCAATTGCTTCCCGATTTTGAAAGAGAGCAATTTTATTTTGGGGACCGGGCAAAGCGGGAAGTGATGCCAATGACTAGCCGGGGCTCCCTTTTTGCCTGCCCGGGCTCGGACGGCTCGTTTTAAACCTGGCCTGGGTCTCCTCGCCTTGACGCGGTCTCCCTCGGACGGTGCAGCAGCGATGTTCAACCTTCCAGCGTCAGGGTTTGGCTCGGCGCATCACCCAGCTTGCCCTGGGCAGCTGCTAAAGCCGGCTAACATGCTTCTTTGGGCAAGAGCGATGGGAGATAGGTTGGAATAAGCTGAGAAACCAAGTTCGGAGGAGGAGGAAGAAGAGAGATCCAGCTGG